ATTTCATAGGGACTCTGAAATTTTAAAAAATTTAGTTTACGTTACAAAGGGATCCTCCTCCTGGAAATTGTGTATTACTAAATATTAAATATAATTTACTAGATATTATGTGTGTATTAGTAAGGATTAGGTGTAGATTAGCAGAGGCTGGTGGGGCACAGGGAAATAGTGGAGTTTGAGGTCTAAAGGATCCACAGGAAAGGGGGAAGTACCTTTGTATGCATGTGCCACATAGTCATGAGTCTGGAAGGGACTTGGTGAGATGAGAGTGGGGGTAGAAAATGTCACGTACTTATTTCCCTGCCCTAGAAAGGAAAGCCTCCAGTGACTTTTCCCCACAGATTGGGGATTGCATTTGTTTTTTGGGCAGTATTCAGGTGATACCTCAAACGGGTCCAAACTGTATTGATTTCAAAACAGCGTGTGGACAAACTCCAAGGATTCACTTAGAGTTCAAGTTGGAGAGTAGAAAAAGGATTGTTTAAGCCCAATTTGAAGCCCGAGCTAGAGAAACAGAAGAAAGGAATGAGGCAGAGATAACCCTGGGCCTTGGTAACAGTACCCTTGGGGTAACAGGCCAGTTACCTCTCAATTCCCTCATCTGTAACATGGAACTAACACCTCTTTGGCTTGAATAAACCAACGAATGTAAAGATTCCTGAAGTAGCACTTTGCATCAATGGATGCAGGTTTTATATATATGCATTTCCTCTTTGACCCAGCAATCCCACTTCTAGCATTTTACCCTGTAGCTACTCCTCCTTCAATAAAACAATGTATGCAAAACTTTATTTATTATATCATTATTTGTCATAGCAAAATATTGCAAACTGCGTATATGGCATATATATTAGTTTCCCATTACTGCATGATGCGTTACCACAAGTTTAGCTTAAAAGCAACACCAATTTATTAGCTCACAGTCTGTCAATCAGAAGACTGGCATGGTGTGGCTGGGTTCTCTGCTCAGAGTATCACAAAGCTGAAATCAAGGTGTTGGCTGGGCTTAGCTCTCATCTGGCCAACTAAGGAAGTTGAATCTGCTTCTGAGCTCATCCCTATTGTTGCCAGAATTTTGTTTCTTATGGTGGTAGGACTGAGGATGCTGTTTCCTTGCAGGATGGCAGCAAGGGCCACTCTCAGCTCCTAGAGACCACCTGCATTCTTTGCCATGAGATGCCTGCATCTTCAAGCCAGTGTGTCAAATCCTTCTTGTGATTTGAGGCTCTGACTTCCCTCTTGTGACCAGCTGGAGAAAACTTTCTGCTTTCAAAGGGCTTGTGTGATTAGGTCAGGCCCACTGGATAATCTCTCTAACACAGGGTCAACTGATTTAGGACTTTAATACATATGCAAAATCCTTTCACAGCCTTATCTAAATTAGTGTTTGATTGAATAACTGGGAGCAGGTGTGTGTACACCAGGGGCCAAGAACCTTGGGGGCCATCTTAGAATTCTGCCTATCACATCACAGGAAGCTGAATAAAATCCTGGGACCATCCACACAATGGAGAACTATGCTGCAGTAATAAAGGATGAGACAGGCCTCTGTGAACTGCTCTTTTGTGATTTCCAGGATACATTATATATTGTTATGTGAAAAAAGCAAAGTAGAATAAAATGTGCTATGTTTCATGTAGGAAAGAAGAGGAAGTAAGAAAAAAATACATATATTGTGGTAGACAGCCTCTAAGATGGCCCCAGTGATCCTTGCCTCTTGGTATTCATGCCCTTATGTAATCCTTTCTCCTTGAGCGTGGGCTGGACTTACTGACTTCCTTCTAGCAAACAGAATACAGCAGAAGTAGTGAGATGTCACTATTAAATTAGGTTACAAAAAGACTATGGCTTCCATCTTGGAATCTCTCTCTCTCTTTCTCTTTCCTCTCTCTCTTTCTCTTTCCTCTCTCTCTCTAGGGCAAAGCAAGCTGCCATGTTGTGAGTAGTTTTATGGAGAGGCCACAAGGCAGGAAACTGATAAATCTAGCTGTTGTGGATTGAATTGTGTCTCCCAAAAGGATATGTTGAAGTCCTAACCCTCCTGGTACCTATGAATGCGGCCTTATTTGAAATAGGTTCTTTACAGATGTGATCAAGTTAAGATGAGGTCATACCGGATTAGGGCCCACCCTAATCCAATGATTTGTGTCCTTATAAGCAGGAAACTTGGACACAGAGACACAAAGGGAAGAATGCCATGTTAAGGCAGAGGCAGAAATTGAAGTTATGTAACTGCAAGCTAAGGAAGGCCAAGGGTAGTCAGCAACCTCTAGAAGCTAGGAGATAGGCAAGGAAGGACTCCCCCTTAGGGCCTTCAGAGAGAACATGGCCGTGCCCACATCTGGATTTTGGACTTCCAGCCTTCAGAACTGTGAAAGAATAAATTCCTGGTTTTTTTTAAATTTTTTTATTTATTTACTGTTGTGAGGAAGATCAGCCCTGAGCTAGCATCCGTTGCCAGTCCTCCTCTTTTTTGCCAAGGAAGATTGGCCCTGGGCTAACATCTGTGCCCATCTTCCTCTACTTTATATGGGATGCTGCCACAGCATGGCCTGACAAGCGGTGTGTCGGTGCACGCCAGGGATCCGAACCAGCGAACCCTGGGCTGCCAAAGTGGATCGCGCGCACTTAACTGCTGCGCCACTGGGCCGACTCCCCTGTTTCTTTTTTAAAGCCATCTAGTTTGTGGTAATTTGTTATAGCAGCCCCAGGAAATGAATACACTATCCAACTGCCAGCGAGGACCTAAGGTCTACCAACAGCCATGTAAGTGAGCTTGTAAGAGGATCTTCTGAGGCCTGCCAATAGCTGCGTTGAGCTTGGAAGCGGATCCTCCCCCAGTCAAGCCTTGAGATGACTGCAGCCCCAAGTGACACCTTGATGGCATTCTTCTGAGAGACCTGGAGCCAGAGGTACCTACCTAAGCCCCTCCAGAATTTCTGACCCACAGAAACTATCAGGTAATAAATGTTTGTTGTTTTAAGCAGCTAAGCTTAGTTATACAGCAATAGATAAATAATAAATATACACATATACCTATGTTCTTAATTTGGGGGGATGGAAGAATAAACTGGAAACTAATGACAATGGTTACTGATAGGGAGGAGTGTGGGAACAGAGTGAAGGGATAGGAAGCCACTCCTCTGAGTATAACATTTGTAAGATTTGATTTTGAACCATGTGGATGCTTCATATGTTCAAAAAATGAAATTAAATAAAAAAGAGGAAAAAAGCAATCTCTGAAATTAATGCAAATAAAAATAACAAACCTAACAATATATCAGATTGATAACATAACCATATTGAAAAGCAAATTAATTCAAGTAACTTTTGAACACAGTACTCTAACCACACACATTTAGAGGGATGTATTATAAAGATAAAAAGAACTGCAAAGAAATCTTAAACTTAGAAGGTTTTTTGCTGGTGGCAGGACTGGCGCATAAGTCTCAACTATTTTGTGTATTTATAGGATAGAGTAGATGAGGAAATATATTAATGCTGATGGGAACTAGTGTTTTCATCATGGGAGAGGAAAGATATAAATATAGAAGGGGAAAGGCTAGAATGAACTCTATGGTGTCAGATGTTGAATTGGAGGTATCAGTATGAACTCATGTTTTAAATCTATATTTGAGTGAAGGGTATACTGTTTACTGTTTTATATCTGTATCTATATGAAAATATATATGCTTTGTCCACCGAAAAGGCCTAGAGGAAATGACATCTCAGTAGCAATGAGCACACCACATACTCAGATATAATTTTTTAAGTGCCATTTCCTACTGAAAGGAACTAGGGTTTCCCTGCCAAGGGCAGAGAAAATGTAGTGAGAGCTAGTAGGTCTTGTGTCAGAAAGCAAGGAAGTGCTCAAAGATTGATAGGATATGTGTAAGGATAAAGGAGCCAGGTGAGTGGACTTCCACTAGCCAAATATGGGCAATTTGAGCACCAAAAATAATAATGGTATTTGATTATAATAAGTGAATTAAATTGAATTAAAAAGAATCTAGGAGTCCACACTGTTATTCAAAAAGAAGGAGGAAGGGGAAGGGAATTGTGAAAGGGAGGACGATATGGAGGAGAAAAGAAAAAAAAAGAGAAAAGGAGAAAGGGGGGAGGGGTACTCTTGTTTAGACAAGAATGACAGCTAATAAACTAAAAGGGATAAAAGAATTAGAAAATCACTTTATAACCAGTGTGATGTGTTGATCAGTGTATGCTACCCCACTGGGTGAAAATACTCACTTGGTTTCACCCTATCCCTGTAACCACAAGACTAGTTTAAACTGACTCCACTTTATCAATAATGGAATGTTAAAGCTGTCTTGCAGGGGCAGTGAGTCAAAACCGCAAGTCATGTAGCCAGAGCATGCACAGAGGAGAAAATTTTGACCCGAAATAACACCTGTAACCAAAGATTCTCCCTCTCCCCATGGAACCAAAGGACTGGGACATGACGGGAACTTGAAAGCCAGGACTTTATCAGAAGCCAGAGGTCTATTGTCCAGCAAGATCCGGTGTTAAAGCCCCTTTTCACATCTTACCTTAAATGATTTTGCTTAAGTCCTTCCAGTCAAAATCTGTCCCGCCAGCACTTCTGCAGAGCAGCCTGCCCTCCTTAATCCCTTAAATTTTACCCCAAACTCTGAATCGGGGAGGCAGATTTGACAGCTTTGCCTCTTGTCTCCTTGCCAGTCAACTTTACAATAAAGCTCTTTCTTGTCTCAAAAGCTGGAGCCACAGCATTGGCTGCTATGCACGTTGGTATCGAGCCCTTCCTCTGTAATAATTTCTGGCGACCACGAAGGGACCTCGGTCCTGTAACTGCCTGCCTGAGGCTCTGTAGCCCCCGATGGGGTGTGAGTTCTTGTTGCTGACCCTAAGCGGTCGCCTAGACAACTCTGTCTAGATGTTCAGCTGATTGGATTCCCATTTCCCAATGCAGCACTCCAGGCTCCTCAGCACTTTCTTCACTTTTGCAAAAAGAAACTGCTTCTGGATCAAGATGTCTCTGGGTAAGTAATGAGTAACTTTAAGAAATAACTGTCCTTTACCTCGTCTCTCTGGTGTGATCCCCTGGAAATGTAAGTTTGACTTGTATTCTAGGGACTCCTGGTGGGCTGAGTCCTGAATCTTGGGCCTGGACCACCCAAGATACTTAGACACAGGATAAAAGATTCATTGGTGAGTTACTCCTGGTGGTCTGGTTAGCATTCTGATCTATGTTATATGTAGAATTGTATTGTGTGTTAATGTTTGTCTAAATTGAATTGGCTGTTTGGGGACTGACTTTCTCAGTGACCATAACCAAACCTCCTTCAGAAATTAACTTTATGAGGGTCTTCTGACTCTGAAGAAAAGAGGCACTGTTCCCTCCAGTTCTTCAGGACATTCTCAGATGACTGGGGATCTTATGGAGGTGGCAGGGCGTCTGCCCATGATGTGCAACAGCCTCATAGGGACCCCCTTTTGAAGAACATATCTTATCAGGCCTTCATGGTTCATAGTGAAGCAGTTGGCAGCAGCAGCTCGGCCACGGCTTACTCACCAGAACCTTGTTGTGCCAAAATATGTAAGGGAGACAGCCGACCCCTTGGTTATTCTTAGGGGAGCTGTTCCTGCAAGCACAGACTATCAGACTCTAAATACCACCCCCTAGAAAGGCCTTGTTTATTGCGGCCACCTTGAAAAAAGCCCCATAAGATGGGGAATGTAAATGGTATAACAAATTGTAGACCCTTGGAATGCAGTCTTCAAAATTGAGCAATGATCAGTTATGAGCCCATGAAGAAAAAGAGAATGATATCCTTTTGTCATATGGCCTGGCCCCAGTTGTGATCAGATGCAGTGTGGCCTGAGAATGGGTCTCTGAACTGTAATACAATCTTGCAATTAGACCTATTCTGTAAAAGGGAAGAAAAATGGGACAAGATTCCCTGTGTGCAATCTTTTATGCTTTTATATCAAAATAAGAATTTGCAAAAGAGATGCAAGATCATGATTCAGAGGGAGGATCCACAGAAAAAACCTATCCTCCCAGAATCAAAGTCAGATGATGACCTTGTCCTTTTGCTATCCCCTACAGCGCCTCCACTATATGCCAGGGATGGGATTGGAGACGACCACAGAGGGCATAATGATCCCCCTGAAGCCACCGGTTTGGCTTTGTACCCCCCCTTTACCTAATAGTCAGACAGGAATGGTCTCCCTTGCTCACACCCATCGGGGTACTCAATTTGGCCTGGGGAAGGCTCCACCCCAGGCAGAGCAATTCTCGCTAAGACAAGTCCCTGCAGGTCTCGATGACCAAGGCCAGCCCAGGGGATTTTTGTATGTGTATTCTCCCTTTTCAACTTTGGACTTATACAATTAGAAGAACAACGTGCCTCCTTACCAAGATGATCCCCAAAAGATGGAAAGTTTATTTATGTCCATCTTTGCTACTCCTAATCCCAATTGGGCTGACAATCAGGCCCTTCTGAACACCCTCCTCACCCCAGAGGAACGTAGGATGATACTGGAAAAGGCTCATCAAGAGGCCAAGAGGCTTCAAGAGTTATAACCTAATGATCCAATTAAGGCTCCAGTGGAACAGGCCATGCCTGGAATTAAGCCAGGCTGGAACCCCAATGACCCTGGAGACCAGGCAAAATTAAACTGTTACGAAACAGTTTCCACTCATTCCACTCATTAAACATGAGTTTAATGCAGAAGGGGGGCCCGAAAACCAAAGAGCCTAAATAAAGGAGGTACAACAGGGACCGAAAGAAAAAGCTTCGACCTTCCTAGAGGGAGTCTTCGAAGCCCACAGAAAGGATACTGATATTGACCCGGAACATCCAGATAACACGAGGCTAATCAATATGACTTTCATCAGCCAGAATGCCTCTGATATAAGGAAAAAGTTACAAAGATTGGAAGAGGGATTGGGGATGCCCATGTCTCCTCTTGTTGAGATTCCCTTTAAAGTGTTTAACAGCGGCAACCAGGTACAAGAGAAACAGAAACAGCGGGAGATGTGACAGCAAGCTGCCCTACTGGCCGTAGCCTTCAGTCACGATCTGCCAAGGCCCATGAGAAAAGACAAATAGCCGTGAGTAAGACCCCTGGGGCCCCCACCTTCCAACTGCAAGAGACACTCAGCCCTGGGACCAACACAATGTGCTTACCGTAAGCAGGAAGGCCATTGGAAAGGTAATGTTTCAACCATTTTTGGAAGTTGCGAGAGGAAACCAATGTGCCTAACCATCAGATGCCCCAATTTGCTGATAGCAACCAAGACTGACAGGGCCAGGGGGCTCCCCTAGACTCCACCAGCACCATTGACGTTTTCCACAAGAAACTCCAGGTGACAATTGCTGTGGGAAAAAAATATATACTTTCTAACTGACACTGGAGCTACTTATTCTGTACTAAACACCAGACAGGGCCTCCTCTCCCCCAAGACTACATCCACTACTGGTGTATCTGGGGACAGCTCTCATAAGCCTTTCCTACAACTGCTTGAGTGTCACATAGGGAAAACATATCTAAAGCACAGCTTTCTATATATGCCTGAGTGCCCTATCCCATTGTTGGAATGAGATTTACTAACAAAATTAAATGCCCAAGGGACTTTTTCACCAGAAAAAGTAGATATTAAAGTCCTCCCAGGGGCCGGCCCAGTGGCGCAAGCAGTTGAGTGCGCGCTCCTCTGTGGTGGCCTGTGGTTCGCAGGTTCGGATCCCGGGTGCGCACCGACACACTGCTTGTTGAGCCATGCTGTGGCGGCGTCCCATATAAAGTAGAGGAAGATGGGCCCAGATGTTAGCTCAGGGCCAGTCTTCCTCAGGAAAAAAAAAAAAAGAGGAGGATTGGCATCAGATGTTAGTTCAGGGCTGATCTTCTTCACACACACACACAAAAAGTCCTCCCAGATCAAGCCTGTGCCAACAAAGCCATGCTATTGCAATTGGGAGACAAGCCTCCGTCAGAAGTCCCTGAAGAAGTTCTACAAAAAGGTAAGAGCAGATGTTTGGGCTGACAGGAGGCCAGAAAGAGCCAAGAGGGCTCATCCAACAGTAGTAAAATTCCACCCAGGCACCAAGACTCCAAATTTGAAACAATACCCTTTAAAGAGACATGGGAAAGAAGGTATAAAGCCTCTGATAGCCACCTTTCTTAAATGCCGGTTAATCTGACCTTGTCAATCCCCATATAACACTCCCATCCTGCTGGTACAAAAACCCAGGACTGGAGACTATTGTTTTGTACAGGATTTGACAGCCATTAATAAAACTGTAGAGGATATACATCTGGTGGTACCAAGTCCTTATACTTTGTTTACAACTTTTTCTGGAGACTTTTGCTGCTTTACAGTTCTAGACTTAAAGGATGCCTTCTACTGCATACCCCTAAATCCTGAATACCAGGAACTGTTTGCCTTTGAATGGGATGATCCAGAGACTAATGTAAAACAACAATATTGCTGGATGATACTCTCATAAGGATTTAAAAATGCCCCCACCATCTTTAGGGACGCCTTAGCCAAGGACTTAGGGATCTTCAATTAAATAAGGGAGTCTTACTCCAATACATGGGCAACATACTAATTGCTAGTAAAATTAAGGAACATTCAGACCAAAATAGAATCCTTACTTTAAACTTTCTGGCAGAATGGGGATACAAAATCTTCAAGAGAAAGGCCTAAATTACTCAACCCACTGTAAAATACCTAGGATTTGAGTTATCTAAAAGACAAAGAAACTTATTTCCAGATTGAAGGGAGGCATAAACTAGAGTGGTTGTACCCACCACCAGAAGACAATTGCGAGGATTTTTAGGAATGGCTGGGTTTTGTCGTATTTGGATTCCTAATTTTGGACTCATAGCCAAACCCCCCATATAAGGCTCTTAGAGGAAATGACAATGAGCTGTTAAGCCGTGCTACAGAACGCCGTCAGCTGCTCCATATCGTCAAGGAGAAACTTTTAACAGCCCTAGCACTTGGTTTCCCAGACATTAGAAAGCATTTGATTTTTTTGTACATGAATGGTAGGGTGTAAGTCCTGCAGTGCTAACTCAGCATTTAGGTGCTGCCAGAAGGCCAGTAGCTTACTTTTCCAAACAATTGGACATTGTAACAAAAAGGTGGCCAGTTTACCTCTGTGCTGTAGCTGCGACCTGTGACCTTTTATAAGAGGCTGAAAAATTTACCCTGGGCCAACTCTGTTACCGTGCACACTCCATACTGTGTGCTGCCTCTACTTGAACAAAAAGGTGGACTTGGGCTTACTTCGGGGAGACTGAGCAAATATCAGGCCATACTACTGGACAACCCGAATGTAAGATTAAAGGTGGTATCTACTCTAAACCCAGCCGCTCTGCTCCCCACTACAACGGGAGAACCTGTCCATGGTTGTATACAAATAATTGAAGAAGTTTACTCTACCTACCTGACTTATCAGCCTTTGGAGAATCCAGATATGGAAATGTTTACCGATGGGAAATGTATACTTAATGGACCATGGACTTCAAAAGGCTGGGTATGCAATAGTAACTCATCAGAAAGTCCTAGAAGCAGAAGCCCTCGTTCCAGGTACAACTGCTCAGAAGGAAGAGCTCATAGCCCTCTCAAGAGCCCCGCATTTTGGAGCTAAGGGAAAGGTAACCATTTATACTGATTCTAAGTATGCCTTCTCTGTCATGCATGCACATGGGGCCATATGGAAAGAGAGGGGTCTACTAACATCAGGAAGGAAAGAGATTAAACACATGGAGGAGGGGGCCGGCCCCATGGCATAGTGGTTAAGTGCGTGCACTCCGCTGCTGGCGGCCCGGGTTTGGATCCCGGGTGCACACCGACATACTGCTTGTCAGGCCATGCTGTGGCGGCGTCCCATATAATGTAGAGGAAGATGGGCACAGATATTAGCTCAGGGCCAGTCTTCCTCAACAAAAAGAGGAGGATTGGCATGGATGTTAGCTCAGAGCTGATCTTCCTCACAAAAAAAAAAAACAACACATGGAGGAGATA